TCGGCTTTATGAACAATTGCTCGGTCGACCTGGGCGCAAGATGCAAGACGAGGCCCAGGGGGCCTACTTCTCCGCGACCCATATCGGGGCGCGCACCCCTTCGCCCTCCACCGCGGTATACATCGCGGCCAACAACATCAGGAACATGCGGGCCCTCTCGGCGCGCTGGTGCACCGCCCGGCAGCGCGTGTCCGCGGGCCTGCTCCAGATCGCCCACTGTTCCACGAAGATATTGTAGTGGCTTCCGGCCGGCGCCGCCGATCCGGGGGCGCCCCCGATGCGATCTGGTTGGTGGGCGGGGAGGTGGAGGAGTAGGTGGGGGACGAGGCGGGGGGGGGTGGAGGGCGGGATTGCCCTTGATGGCCGAAGACGGCCTAAGCAGCCCCCAAGAGGTTTCCAAGACTGCCCAGGAGGAAGAGGAGGAGGAGGAAAAGGAGGAGGTGGAGGAGGAGGAAGAGGAGGAGGAGGAGGAAGGAGGGAGCGGGAGGAGGAGAGAGGAGGTGGGAGGAGGAGGAGTGGGGCTGGGGCCCCCCTGAGGTTTCTCGGGGCGCCTCCGAGAGGCCTCGCGGGCTTTCTCGGGAGCCTCTTGCGCCAGGAGACTCGACGTGTTGGGTCGGGTTCCCTCTCTGGGGCTTCTGTTGGGGTCGTCCCGCAGCCCTCTCGGAGCGCCTCGGGTGCCCCCGAGGTAGTCCTTGAGCCCTCTTGGGCCGTCTTGGGGCCCTCTTGAGTAGCCTCGGGGCTCTTTGGGCAGTTTTGGGGCGCTGTTGGGAGCCCCTTCGGCCGTCTTGGCGCGCCCTTGGGGGCCGTCTTGGAGCGTCGGAAACCTGAAGGGGCGAGCATGTCAAAACCCGCCAAAAACGATCGGACAACATGCGATTTTGGCCTCACGAGCCCCTCTTGGGGATGCCGCTGGAGTGCTCTTGGGGCCTCTTGGGGGGCCTTTTGGGCGTTTTTCAGACCTCCTGGGAACTCTTGGAGACGTCTTGGGCCGTCTTGGAGGCCTCTTGAAGGCCTCTTGGGTCGTCATGGTGCCTTCCTGGGCCGTCTTGGGTACATCTTGGGCCGTCTTCGAAATATATTGCAGCAGTCTCGGGCTCTCTGGCGTCCGGGGAAGCACTCTGCCGTGTTTCCCACGACCCCCCCCCCCCCCCCGGAAAAAAGAGCACGGCGCGCCCCGCCGCCCCCCCCGCGCCCCCCTACCCGGCTGAGCCACCCCGGCACCCGCCCCCCAGTGGCCCTCCAGCAAAGCAGAAGCTCAGGAACTGAAGCTGAGGCTACATCTAAGGCTTTTTCACACTCGCACGCCGGGTCGGCGGATTCTGGGCGCGCGCGGCGGCGCGGACCAAGAAGGCGGACAACCTGGTCCGCCAGTCGGCCCGCGCCGCGCGCTGCTGGCAGGGCCCCGCCGCGCTCCCCAGGGCCCCGCCCCCGGCCATCCGCGGCCTCTTCGGCTACCGCGGGGGGGGGCATCTGGGAGACCATAAGCAACGACGCCTACCCGTTCCTCAACGTGGACCTCGCCGTCTTCGACGCGGGGGGCAGGGGGCCGCGGCAGTAAACGGCAACGCCGTCACCTCGGACGAGCTGGACTTCGATGACCTGAGGGCTTACCTCCACAAAATCCGCGCCGACCTCGGCCTCCCCGACGTCTTGGCGACGGATATCGAGGTGGAGGGGCAGGTCTCGAACTGGTTCCAGACCGAATCCCAGAGGGTCGAGGCGGCCACCGGGGCGGTGGGGCTCACCGCCGCGGCGTGGGTCTGCATCGCGAACTACGGGCTGATTTATCACGATGAGCGGCATGCTGATCATGTTCCCCCAGATTCCCTATTACGGGCGGCGCGCTTCGCGTTCGGGCGCTTGCCCAATCCGCAACCAGCCGCAGAATTGCACCACTGTCGCCCGCTACAACCTCATCGGCGCCGACAGAGGCAACGCTGCCGCGGGGGCAGCGGATCGCGCGCCGCATGACGAGCTTCTGGCGCGCCCCCCCTTGGGTCGACATGTTCTTCATGATATTATGCCTCATCGGGGGCGCTTCCCCATGGCGATTGGTGAGCATCGCTTCGCTGTTATTCTTCCTGTGGGTGATGGCCCTCTCTTTCAAGCACAGCTCGCTGCGCTGCAACGTCGCGTGGATTCTTGGGCGCGCAGTTGGCTGCCTTCGATTTTTCTGCACGGGGCCATTGCCGATGATTTTGACGACTGGATGGATTGGGGCACTGACAAGATCGCAGAGGTGCTGCTTTATCGGTGCTTCGCTGGCCTCTCTGAGGGTCCACTTCCCGCCGATCGCGCGCATTTAACTCGGTGAGGCAGTCTGTCATGCTTGCTGGCATAATTCGTCTGCTTTGCGCTCGTCGTTTCCTTTTTTCATCTGGCCGCGCCCTGGCACGTGGCCGATGAACTTCGCGTTCGGGCCATGCAGCAACGTGGTCGTGAGCGTGTTTTTCTTTGCAATTGGCGTCGCGCGCAAGCTGACTTCCCCCCGCAGCATTGGGGGCAGCTGCGCGCTATTGGTGGCCAATGTCTTCTAGAAGGTGCGCTTCCCGAGGGTGCGATCGAAAGGGGGCGCCGCGAGCTGGGGCTGATAATTGGCGACGTCGAGGAGTATGCGTTGTCCTCGCAGAACTCACCCGGCGATGCCGATGATGTTAGGCCTGCCCCTCGCCGCGCCCATCTCGCCGATCGCGTCGGCGCCCGGTCGCGCGCGCGGCTACTGTGTATACGAACGCGGTGGGCAGCGACGCCCAGCAGTGGATGGAGTGGTGCGTCCCGCATGCAGCCGACATACTGCGATCTAGTGGCTTCCAATATCTATGCGCCAACGCCGCGCATCGCTGGGAAGCCGCTATAGGACTACATATGAGGGGGCGATACAATTGAGCGATACCGCGCGAGCAACTGCGACGACAATTCTGCGCGCCCTAGCATGATCGGGGCGACCTGCGGATCACCCAGCTACGGCGCCATGCCCTTGCTCATCGACGTTAAGAAGACTGGCGAGCTGACCCCGCCCGCGTGCCACCTACGGAGCGGCAGGACTTCCTACGGGCCCAGGCCGTCTTCAATGCTGGCCCACCGTCGCCGCTCCTTCCGCGTCTTCGTTTGCTTCCACACCCTCTCGCTGGGGGCGATGGTGGGAATGTGTCGGCCGATGAGCTCTCCCCGACGAGGGCGATGGCAGCGGGGATTTGAACGGCCACCCTGCCCCTACGGCGACGGACTTGGCCGCGACAGGCGACGCAGCAAACAGTTCCAGGCTATCCGGGGTGGAGATGCCTGAGCCTGACCCGCCACCAACCATAGATGGGATACTGCCTGCCAGCGAGTGCTCGCACCACTTTGGCCCGATTCTCACGGAAGAGGAGTTCGAGGCACATGTTCAACATGCATTGCGGAGCTCTCGGCTTCTGCCTGACACGGAAGGCTCCGATCCATCTGCAGTTGCGCCCCGCGCGCTTGTTGCGCTGCCGCTTCCTCCTCAGCCGACGATGGGAGAGGACGACAACTCCAGTGCTGATAATGACGCTTTCGACCAGCTTATTGCGAAGCACGGCTTTGGCGTGATCTACCCGAATGGCTCGGTCGGTGGGTCGGCGCCTGGTCTACCTGCACAAGGCAGCAATCACGGACATCGAGAACCGCGTGGACCACCTGAGCCGCATGCGCAACTTGTTCCACCTGGACTTCAGGTACCACCTGTCGATGCTGTTCCGCGGGAACCTTCTGTTCCGCCTGTGGACCAGCCTCCCTCGGACGTCGCTGGGCACGCTGCTGTTCCCCTTTTCCACAAGGCAATCCAGACGACCAGCGAAAGCGCAGCGCGCGCAGGCGAACGGTCGCCCAGGCAGATGGCGGCCGCAGTCCAGCACATGGACCCCGACCTCGTGCTCTCCGGCAGCCATCGCGAGATCGTCTTTCGGCTGCTCGCTCATCCAGTTGCGTTGCTGGAAGATGGTGCTGACTCGTCTGGACAGATGTATCCTCTGCTTCTCGGTTGTGACGGGGATGATCACATTGACGCTGGAGCCGTTGCTCTTCTACTTCGCGCCGCTGAACTTGAGGCGCAAGAGCAAGGGGCCTGAGCACGTCATGCTTACTGCGGATGCGGCCGCTGGCGACGACGGCTCCGAGGATGAGCAGTATCTCGAGATGTTTGACGTCATTCGCGAAGCGGAATTGATTGACGGCCCGCACGTCCGCGGCGCGGGAGAAGAGATGTCCGACGCTGCGTTCGTTCTGCATGTCAGGCGGGCGCGGTTGCCTGCATTCGTTCTGTCTCCCCGGCTCCGCGTTCGATTCGCGTGGGCCCCGCTGGTGCTGATGATGCAGCTTTCAATGCTGGCCTGCCCGTTGTTTCTGTCGATGGCGTCGCCCTCGAGAGCGGAGGCAGCTGCGACGTCGACGACCTCGTAGAGCGCGCCTCCGCCCATGTCCCCCCCCTGAACCGCCTGGCCATCCTGCGCCGCCCGTGCAACCCGATCCACCTGGGCGTCGGGCGCCACCTGGCGATGCTGTTCCGCGCGTGCTCCCTGTTCCGCTTGTGGACCAGCTCCTCTCAGACGTTGATGGACATGCTGCCGTGACCCTTCCACCCGGGAAGCGCGCTGAACAAGGGGCGCGTGCGTTGGGCCCCACTGCCGGTGGCACTGGGCGCGCGGGGTTGGGCCCCACTGCTGCTGGCGCTGGGCAGTTGGGAATCGGGGCAGGCGCAGCCGACGACGGCGATTCCCACGCCCCCCACCAGCTGCTGGCCTCTCTCAAGTTCCTCTGCATGGAGATCCACAAGGCAATCCAGACGACCAGGGATAGCGCAGAAGGCAGCGCGGCGCGCGCCGACGAGCTCTCGCCCGAGCAGGTGGCGGCCGTTGCCCAGCACATTGACTTCTACTTCGTGCTCTCTGACAGCCATCGCGAGTTCGTCAGTTGGCTGCTTGCTCGCCCTGTTGCGCGGCTGGAAGCTGGCTCTGACTTGTCTGGACAGTTGTCTCCCATTCTTCTTGGTGGCGACGGAGGTGATCTCACTGACGCTGAAGCTGACGTGCTTATCCTGCATGTTGCTGAACGAGAAGCACAAGGCCATGATGAGGATCCTAAGCGCACCATCCCTCTCGCGGAGGTGGCAGTCGGCAACGATGACTACGAGGGTGCGCCCCGAGCTGATGGGGGACATCCGTGAAGCGGAGCGGTTTGGCGGCCTGCGCGATCACCTCGACGCGAGGGAGATGTCGGATGGCGAGGGCGCGGCCGCGGGCCCTCGCCTTGTCCCCTCGGCTACGCCTTCGTCTGGCGCGGGCCCTGCAGGCGCTGGCGACGCCGCCTGCAGCGCGATCCCGCCCGCGCCCCCCGTCGAGGGCGTCGCCTTCGGGAATGGCGGCGTCTGCGACTTCAACGACTCCATCGAGCTCGCCCCGGACAAGGCGCCCTCCGCCGAGGTGCCCCCGAGGCCGGGCCCCGTGGGGGCCGAGGGCGGCGCGGCCAGCGCGGCCTAGACGGCGACGTTCGCCCCCCCCTCAGCGGCGCGCCCCCCCCCCCCCCCACCTTATCCTCGCCCGCGCCCTCGTCCTCAGCCTCTGGGCGCTACCATGCGCGTGACAAGTCGAAGGCCACCCGCGCGCCGTCGTTGGCGGAGATGACGGGCCCGGCCCCGCGGGGCGCGAACGCGGCGAGAGGGCGGGGGGGGCGGCGCGAGGGGGGGGGGGGGAGAAGGAGGAGGAGGAGGAGGAGGAGGAGGAGGAGGACGACGACGAGGGCGAGGACGAGGACGAGGACGAGGACAAGGACGAGGAGAAGCGGGAGGGTGGACGTCGTCGAAAATAGGGGGATGGAAAGGAGGAGGGGCCGCGCAATCACAGCGGGGGCCCATGCGAAGAATCGCTTCGTTGCCCTCCAGGGCGCCCTGGATTTCTCGGGCGCCTATGTTTGCGCGATGGAAAGCGCGGCGCTCGCGCGCCGAAACTTGCGCGGGGGTTATTGTGGCCGGGGTCCAGCCGCAGTTCGGCATCGATTGCGCCGCGCGCCTTGCGCTTTGCACCTTGCGCCATGGATTGGGCCGTAGATTGCCCCGAGCGCCACGCGTGACTTACGTCGAACGCATGGCGCCACATTGCCCGCGCCGCACCATGCCCGCCGCGCGCATTGCACGGGGTAGCTCGCGTCGCCTCGAGCGGGCCAACTCGCTCGCGCCGCGCTCATCGCACCGCAGAGATCGCACCGCGCGAAGCCGCCGCGATGCTTCGCGCATCCCGGCCAGCCCGTCCAGCGCCGATGCCTAGACGAGTTGCCCTGGTCACGGAGGTGGGGGAGTGCGCAGAGGGCGATGATGATGATGATGGTGATGATGGTGGTGACGTTGGCGATGATGACGATGAGCGCGGGGGCGATGATGATGAGGGCGAGGGTGCTGATGGTGGCGATGATGATGCTGATGATGGCGCCGTTGGCTGCGGCGGTGGTGCTGGCGAGGGTTAGGGCGAGGATGGTGATCTTGATCGCTCTGGAGGAGGCGTTCGCGGCGTCGCGGCGGGCGCGGCTGCCCGCCCATGCCTATGTTCAGCCTGGCCCACCACCAGATTGAGGGGCTTGCACATCGCGCAGGTGTTCAAGGCCCGCGACGGCGCGCACCGCGTGAACGAGAAAGACCGCGACTGCGGGCTGGAGGCGTTCGGCCACGATGACGAGTCCGCCGCCGCCGCCAAGGTGGCCGGCCAGATCGGCGCGCGGCCAGTCCTCTCAAGGGCCATGCGCGTCGCCCCGCGCGGCGCGCTGTGGGCGGCAATGAAGACCGACGCGCGGCCGTGGGTCGGTCGCCCAGGCGCGGGCCGCCGCGGCGCGGGCCCCGCGGGCAGCGCGAGCGAGGGCATCGTGCGGATTAACCGCCAGAATGCCACGCGCACGGACGTCGTCGCCATCTTGCGTCGGCTGCGGGGCGCGGAGGCGCGCTTGTCTTCCAAGTCGGGCGCGCCCCCGTGGAGGCGCGGCCTCGTTTTCAACGCGGACCGCGCGGTGGCCCCCCCGCCAGTCCCAGGCGCGCGCCGGCGCGGGCGGGCAGCCCGTCGACTGCGCCGCGAGCCATCACTTCTGCAAGAGATTGGCGACGGACGCGGTCCTCATCGCACTCCCCCACGTCGTTCTCCTGATCCCTCTCGTCCTCCTCCTCCTCATCCTTCTCGCCCTCCTCCTCCTCCGTCCGTCTCGCCCATCTCCTGTCTCCCTCGCCCGCGTCCCCCTCGCCCTACGAGGGCCCCGCCGCGCCCGATTCCAGTGCTGACCGCTCCCCATCATCCGTCGTATTTCTCGAGACCTTCGCTGGCATCGCGAATCAGATCGCCTGGAAGCGCGTCTCCGATACCTTGGAACGCCAATCGCAATGGTCGATCATCGCGGCGACGACGAGTCGACGGACATCTCCCCGAACGTGGATGGAGACGTCGGCGCCGGGACCGTCGCGGTCGCCGAAGCGCCGCAGGCTCGCCGCGGAGACGCCCGACCCGACCGTGCAGGCTAATTTCGGGCCGACGATGGGCATCGAGACTCCTGTCAGCCCTTGGGTTTCCCCCGCTTCTGTGCTCCGTGCCCGAGATGGGCCGCCCCGTGCGTCGGCTAGGTCTGCGTCGGTGCCCGTCGTGCTCCGCCTCAACGCCAGCGCGGCAGAGCTCGGGGATGACCTCGTAGATTTGGAGCTTGCAGATGCGGCCAGGTGGGCCGCGATCGCCTAGGCCAGAGCGGGACGTGGTAAGTCGGGAGCCCAGGCTGCGTGCTCTGAGTTTTCGAGCGGCGCAGTGACTGCACTAGCTGGCGCGGCGATTCATCCATGCGCGCGATGTGGCGCACAGGCAAAGTTGATGCTGGTCCCCGTGCCTCCTTAATTATGTACACGTATATGTATATGTATCAGAATAATGCTGCGTGGATTCGGGCCCCCGGCTCCCCGAGCCCCCCGGGGGCCCGGAGGGCGAGCTCCTCGGAGAGGCTCGAAGCGGCACCAGAGCTCCCCAGAAGAGGCCCAAGACGGCCCGCGGAAGCCCCGAGACGACCCAAGACGGCTTGCAGGCGGCCCAAGACGTTCTCCAGACGGCCCTGCGCGCCCCAAAGACGCCCCCGGACAGCTCTGGGGGGCCCACGGTGTCCCCCATGGGGCTCCATGGAAGAAGAATCATCACATTCCCGATGTGAAATGTGCATGTTTAACGGATTCGATTCTTTCTGCATCGGATCGCCCACAGGTCCCAGCGATCGCCCAAGACGGCCCCCACGAGGGCCCAAATATGGCCTAGACGGCCCCGGGGCGGCCAAAGAGGCGCCCAAAACTGCCCGAGAGGACCCCGAGAGACGCCCAAGAGGAGCCCGGGAGAGCCCGAGATGGCCCCAAGACGATCCAGCTGGCGCCCAGGATGACCCCAGACGGCCCCCAAGACGGCCTCAGAGGCGCCCCGCACCGCCCAAGAGGGCCCCGGGGAGCCTCGAGCGGCCCGAAGGAGCCTTCGCAGAGCCCCCAAACGGAGGTCCACGGGGCCCCCCAAGAGGGCTCCATGGAGCAAGAATTATCACATGCCCAATGTAAAATACACATCTTAAACGGATTCGAGTCTTTCCGGATCGAAGCGCCCGCAGTCCCCAGCGATCGCCCATGCTGAATTTGGAGCATGTTGTGCTGGGCATTTATGGATCCCCTTGACGGGCGGCACCCCCCGCGCGCGATCTTACAGGATTCGCCGCGCCCCCGGAAGGGGCGCGGGGGGCCCCGCGGAAAGAGACGGGGGGGGCGCGGCAAGTCTGGCGGGGCGACGCAGGAGCGAGGAGCGAGGCAAGGGGGGGGGGGGCCCGGGAGGCCCCGAAAGGAGTGACGGGGGGTGGCGAGAGAACGAGGCGGGAGGTTGTCGGAATATATCACAGCGATGCAAGCATCGCTCTCCCATGCCGAAAACTCGCGCGCGCGTTGGAGCGGCGGTCTGGCAGGGGAAGTCTTTCGAAGCGGGTTCTCAGCGGTGGCTGGATCGGGGCAAGCCTCTGCGCGGCGATCCGTATCCGTTCAGGGCGTTTATCTATGGGGTACTCAGTGGTTTGAACGTCTTCATTAAAGGTTTCGGTGTGCCCCGCAAAAATTGCCATGAGTTTTGGTTATGCTGCCGCGCTGGTAGGTCGGCGACAAAGCGACTGCGGTTAAATTCTTCCGACATTGGCAAGTTTGGGCAATGGCCCACGTTGCGGCGATATGGCCGCGCCAGACAGAGTCCATCCGATGTCCTGCCTGATTCCTGGAGTATAGCATCGGGCTTTGTGCCTTGACATGTTCCGCATGCTTGGTCTTGGGGGCGGCGTTCTACATGGGCTCGCGTTCGAGAGGATGGGCGGCGATCCGACAGACACCCTTGCATCCATCTGCATTGGGATGCGCGGGCTTGACGAAGAGCACGGCGCCAGCGCCCGCGTCGCATCGCGCGGCTTCCGCGCGATTCCGCTTGCTCCATGGATACCCAAAGCGCATCGGCGACGCGGCAATTCACCTCCCCCCCGCCCCGGGCCCCGTGCATCTCGCGAGTTCCGTGCGACGGGCAACGATGCATCCACGGTCGGGCAATGCGCTTCTTCGACGCAGCGTGCCTGCTGCCAGTTCGCATCTGGCGCAGCGGAAGTTTCTGCGCGGGGATGCCGCTCCCAGATCGCAGCGACCTGCCCGCGCTCTCATTTCCCAAGCCCGCGAACCGCATGCAAACTGCTGAGCGCCGAGCCCCAGCCCCAATCGCGGAAGCGCCGCGCGAAGAATTCGAAGCCCGCGGCGACGTCGAGCGGAGGTCCCGAACCCCGCGCATCAGGAACCTCAGCCGCTTCTACGCGCGCATGAACGTTGCGGGCGCTTTTTTCTGATGCTCGCGCCAGGATGCGCGCGGCAGTCGCGAGTTGTATCGCGCCGTGCATTTCGCTGGCCCGTTCTGCAGCTGACGCTGTGTTCAATAAGTGGCCCATTGCCAATGATTGTTACTTCCAGTTCCTCTGTGGAGTTGGTGATGCGCGGGTGAACCTGCGAGTGCTTTAAGCGCAGGCGAGGACTGCCAGAGACGTGACATTTGTGGCAAGTTCGCCCGCGATTGGCACCGCTCTTCTAGATGTGACAAGCAAGCTCGTTGAGAGAGTCAGGCTGGGTAAACGTCTCGAACGACGCGCAGTGCCCGTCGCGCCCGCGACCAACGCCCAGTCCTCTCGCCCCTTGGGATTCATAGTCCAGCGGCCCCAGCGCCGGACGGCCCCGCCAAGGGGTGGTGAACATTGAGCGTGTGCGAGGGTGCTGTGTTTGAGCCGCTAATTGACCGCGGGGGCATTTTGCCCCAAGCACCGGGCTTGAGGGGGAGGCAGAAGAGGGGGGGGGGGCGGGCGGAGGCGAAGGAGGGAGAGGAGGCTCTTCTTGTTTCATCCGGCGCGCGAACGAAACGATCAGGG